CTCGTGAGTGGACACGTGTGTTAATTAGCAATTATCGTGGCGGTTGTGCACTGCTTTTTTTACAATTATCCTGTGCAATGGATCCGATAAAATAATACGAAATCGACCGCGATTACCGCTTCTCTCGTATAAGATTCCCCGACTCGGGAACCTCGAATTCCAATTTCTCGGCTCCTACCTCTCTCTCTTCATCGGCCGTACTATTATTGTAGAAGTATTTCGCCGGCATCGTGCTCTCCGATATTAGAAGTCCGTGATCGTATTTTTAAACCACCGTTCCGTCGCGTCGTCGCTCGCGTATTGCATGTAACCGCAGACGATAGCGATAATTAGCGGCGCTCTCTTGGGAATGTGATTAATTCTTCCGCCATCGAGAAAATAATCGAGACTGCCCTGAACTAGTTCTTCCATCTCCACTTTTATCACAAATTAATGATTATCATTAAGAGGGATACGTGACAGAAATGTAAATACGAGATATCAATGAAAATTATCTACTTCAAACTAGCAATAGACAAATTGTTATGTGATAATAAAATCTTATTTCGTGATAACAAAAGACTTAAGTAATATAGTAATGCGATAATACGTTCAGATAAAATGTGGAGAATAAAAAATAATATATATTTTTATATCAGACACACACACACACATATACATTTTCCTTATTGCTTGTATCTTACATATTTTTCTCGTAAGACGGCTTATCTTTGCGAAAGCTTGTACTCTACCAACTTATGGTGTTTGTTGAATACGTATTTGTGAGCATATCTTATTTTAATGATTTTGAGTTGCTGACAAACTTTATTCCAGTGCGTAAAAAGTAACTAAAAATACACGATGAAGTAACGTCAGTTTGCTGCAAATAAGATATGCTAAATATAAGACGTCTGCAAAATATCGAGCGCCGTAATTTTTGCTCGAGTTTTTAGAGGAGCGTTTAATAAAACGCTATCAAGTTTAGCATACTGCGTAATCCGCGGCTCTTGTCTTGAAAGAGAAAAATGTGGTTCTAAAGTTAACGCAGTCAAGTACCACCGTAACTGAGAGAATAAGTAGAACAGAAAGCTGAATAAATGTAAAAAATGAAACAAATGCTCGTATTTGATATAATCAACGTAAATCTGTGACAATATTTGCAATGTAATACCATCGTCGATCGATTCCCCTAATATTGGTGATTTTGCGATTACCCGATTATTTTACCCGGTTATTTTCGTTCGGGCGTTGGCTTGCACGCGTTCGTAACTAGTTTAAAAAAAAAAAAGAGATCGCCGTTGCGTGTATATGTGTGTATGCTTGGACTTATCGGTTCACCGAGCGCATATGGATAATATTGCGTAAGTGATCGGACACAAGCAAAGTTATTCCGCTCAATGATCAATTTGTCGCGGCGGTAAAGCGCTAACGTTGCTCTCGTGCCCAGCTATGCCCATTTACGGGATCCGGTGATGCTCAAAATGGTGCTCGATAATGACGACGGACCAACTATTTTCGATCTAACCGCTTAATCGCGCGCGCCGTGCTGTGCCGATTTTACGTAGACCGTACGCGGATTACATTCGTGAGTCTGGCTCTAATAGATGCAGAAAGTATGTTCGGTACAAGCGTACCATACGTTCCGCACGTCACGTGACAAGCGCTTTTCTTCTAAGTAACGTTCATTTAGAGTAAAATTCCTTTTTAGTGCGACTGTCTCCGCTTTACAGGCGCATTGATTTATTTCTTTACCCGCAGCGAGTGTTTGCAGTATGTTTCAGAAGAAGGTATGACGGCAACTTTCGACTAAATGTAGTTTATCACATAGTAACCAATCGCTAAACATTGATTTCAAATGCCATTTCTTTCGACGGCACTGTCCATAGATCTCTAACAATGTACTTGATATTTCACTTAAAGAATCGCGATATCGTAAGAGTAGATTTCTTTTTCAAATATGGAATGGGTTTGAGACATTTGTAACTTTAACAATATAAATGATACAATTATACTATACAAATATAAATATTGTAGGTATTGTATTATTGTAATTTTTGTTAAAAATTTACGGTTTCGTAATCTCTTAATCTGGCTATCCTGCTTAAGTTGTCGAAGCTTCTCGTTCCGCGATTTTCACTATATTATACATGCGTCATAAAGTGAGGGCACCGGCGATTAGCCTCGTTAATGCTCAAAGGCGCATAAAAATCCGCGACAAATCACCAGAGATTAACGCGCAGAATGCAATTATGTCCTACTAAAGCTCCAACGAGGAATCCTTTTGTCTTTTATTTTCGATCTGCGCGCTGTATAATTAGTCGCAGTTGAACAGGTTTAATTATTTTTTTTCTGTCTTTTTTTCGAGAATTTTTGCATCGTCGATTTTACGGACGGCATGATATCACAACAGTTGCCTGTGCGTTGCGATATATCGTGAGATACACTTTTGTCCGGCAGGTCTTTGGCGAACGCGCGGTGGACAACGTTGAGAAACGGGTACGGTAGACAGATACCGGGAGTTGAAACCAGGCCTGTGCACCAATCCCGGGGAGATAATTCTCAAAGCTTATTATACGAAATATCAAGGCCTTGCCTTTCTACGGTATGTACGGATACGTACACACGTTTGTGAGTAGCACGCGACACACACGATCGCACGCACGTAGCAACATTAAGCGAGACGAACGCGCGGCACGCCCACGGTTCGTGATCGGCGAAATTTTTTCGATTAACTGACGACGACGGACGAGGTTTCCACGTCATTTAAACTATAAAGGGCATCGAAGGCGGATACGATCGCGACGCCGGCTGATCTTAAAATTGGAACGAGAGAATTCGCTACGTTTGAATCATTAAAAGGAGCTACTTGATATGATGTATTAATTTCTCAAGTAGAAAAGATGACTTAATTTTTAAATTCTTGAAAAAATTGTAACAAAAACTATAACAAGTTAACTCTCCATAAAACTTTGTATTGCAAATCGTTGAAGAAATTAATTTAAAGCATTATCCATGTGTGATCGCGTATTTTTTATTTTCTAAAATATATAAATATATATTTAAAATACAAATATTTATCGTATATTTCTTATTTTTATTTCAAATAGTATGTTTTTTTAACACAGGCTTTCACGAATTGATTAAAATATCAGATCAACAACTTCCTTTGCAATAACCCAATAAATGCACAAAATATAGATACTATGTGTAAGTATATACAATTTTTTAAAATAAAATAAAATAATTTGTAATCTTAGAAAAATTTTACTTGAATTTAGAAATTGATAGATTATGTTATGATATGTGTAACATTTAATCAAACGTAATTAAAACGTAATTAAAATATTTTTTATAACCGTAGGCATTTTAGAATCAGGGTCGTTCGTAGTATGCTACATTCAATATGAATATATGCATAGAATTGATATTATAAATGCAATAATAAAAATAACGATGCATGATAAAGTTGCATGGTTGATTTGATTATTCACTCTCTAAAAATCTATTCTTATAAATATTAAGCTTGTACAATCATATTCATGAATTTTAATAAGTTGTGTAATGTTTTCCATGGAATGACTTAATCCCAAGCCATTTAAATTTTTTCCTCTCATATTTTACATATAAAATTAGCTAGTATATTAATAAACGTAATGTGATATTTATAACTGGTCTATGAAAAATCCATAAACATTATTTTTAATGTGTATTTTCTTCATAGCATTTGTGATTAATATATAATTGTGCACATATGATATAACTTTATATTCTTTGGTAACCGTAAAGACTATAACAAAATTGCAATGAGAAAATTTTGTGTGATTACACAAATGGATGCATTCACTCACCGATCGTTGTACCCTAGCTAAGCACGCCTTTAGCTGTACCTGAACAAATTATAATATATATTTATTACGGATTATCATTTACATTGACATTTATTTTATGCATGTAGATTGCCACATATTATTTAATTATACCTACTTTTACTAAAACATAACTGTATCGTAAATTGCACACACAGATATAATAAAAAAATAATTATATTCACCAGCTAGAATATTGCAGTTTATTTCACTCCGCAACTTCGCAAACTCCGCATTAGAATTGTTCTGTATCGAGTTCCAACGAAGAATCCAACGAAGATAAAATATGTAGAAAATCCACACTTATTTATGTGTATTATCGATTGAAAGGCAATTCATATTACTTTGGAAAGTACACAAATATTACACACGAAATCACACCGCGAATGTACCACGCCGCGAGACACGAAACGCAATCGTGATATAAAATTGTACTTCTTGTCGCGACATCGATGCACGTTCAACGATCTACTCGGCACTACATAAACATCTTGAGCGAACGAACGAGCGATGACAATGTTTACTGTCGCACGTAGGTCAGCACATACGAAAACACACACAATATGTTTCCTAAGAACCTTTTTACTAAAAGTATTCCAACAAGTTTCAATATGTTATAAGAACAAACGAAAAATACACTTTTAGCGTTTCGTACACAGAATCTGTACTTACTAGAATTATGCGTCTACGGCCGTTAGACGATCGAATCGTTAATTTCGAGCATCCGCGATAACAATATCTTCCGGCAATCGCCCATCGCTCTGACACTCCCGATTAGAAACTAAATTCGCACTTTAACGGATGAAATACGCGATAAATCACAGACCGTTTTCACTTACCGTTGCAAACCAACGCGACGTAGAACAAAATGGCGGAGGATACGCGGGAAGTTACGCGAATAAAGTTGTCTGCATATCGATATCGATAAATTTAATACCATGCTTGCCACCCTTTGGCCACCACAATAGTTCACTTAGCGTTTCCACCGACGCGACATAGTGAACTATCGTGGCGGCCGAAGGGAGGCGCGCGCGTAGCATGGTATTAATATAAATCATCGATACATCTTACAAACATTACCTCCTATCCCTTCCCGGCCGCCATAATTGTTTTTTGTCAAACAGCAGTTTGGGATGCAGAGTGAATGTTCTGCGATCAATTGCGTATTTTATCTGTTAAAAATTTATAATGAGTGCGAATTGTGGTCGAGAATGCCGATTAAAGTGACGGGCGATGATCGGAGCGTATCGTTTGCTGCGGATGTTTTGTAATTAACAATGATTCGGCATTCGCTTGGTGGCTGGACCATGAATGCGCGGTTTTTTAGTGAGTAAAAAAAATTTCTGGCGCTGGCACTCTGTGTGTACTTTTTATTTGCATATTGGCGACCAGGAATGCTTTAATACTAAAAATGGTATCAATCGTGAACCATTCAGGGCAAGCACATCATATCGAGACATTCATGATGATTCATTTATGATTGTTGGTAAAAAATTTTGAACTACATTTTTAATGATTAATTTGTTATAAATTTTTGACTATCAATCATAATGCATGAATATCTAGACACGATGCGCATATCACGAGTCATTCAAAATTGATGCAACTTCATATGTTAAGACATTTTGATTGTCTACGTACATGTAGCGCGCTAAATATTCAGTTAATCGGAATTATTTCAGGTAAAACATGTGTTGTGTGCGTGACTTGTGTACAGTGTCGAAAAAGTCGTCGAGAACAAGATAATAATCGGATAACACTGCGCGAACGCGGTATGAAGTACATTTTAACTCAAGTTTGTTTTATATATCGTAGCAAGTTCAAAATGTCAAACCGTCTTTTATTTTCGTGTTATTTCGAAAGTGAAGTACGCAAGAGTTCTCAGTATTCATTGATTCTTGAGAGAACTGGTGTAGAGCAGTCTACGGCGGAATTTTCAGCGAATAAACTGCAATATCCTAGCTGGTAAGGACAATTTGTATTTTAGTTAGATAGATAAATAGTTGTAATTACATATACACACATATAACTACATTTATATATTAAGTGTTTGAAAATAATTTTTAAATAGTTTGTTAAAACAAACTTTTAAACATTTATTAAAATTATTAAGTAGTTTATAATAATTAACATATATATATATAAAACACATAATTATTAAAATATTTATATACTAATATATATATTTATTTCTGTAGGTACAGTCTTTAAAGGCGTGCTTAGCTAGGGTACAACGATCGGTGAGTGAATGCATTCATTATATTTGCGTTTATATTATATAAAATTTTCTCAATATAATTCTGTTATGCTCTACACGATTTAATAACCCGATTTAATAACTCAATTTATAACCTATAATTTAAATTGTGGTGAAATTTAAAATATACACATATGTTTTCATACTCTAATGAATGACGTACTTGATTGAAAATAGCTATATTATCACGTTTGATATTTACAAAAATTAGTATATTGATGTCAATCAAAAACAGAGTAACTATTCAGGTTGAAATTAAATGATTAGGAAACACAATGGTGCATAATAATTAGGATGCGACAGGTACGCAATTATCATTTCGCCACTTCCCGTTCTTTAACCATCTTGATCAGCAAATTGCCCGATCACTTTTTTAGTATTTTTTTTATATTTTATATTTTTATATTTTATATTTTATATTTTTTATATTTTGTGAAGAAAATTATTTCAATCAAATTGAACTTAACTTAAAAGTAATTTAAGAAATTTTATTAAATAATTATTTGACGAATATCAAAGATATTTTATAATAAATGATAAAAGTTAATTAAAGGAAATATTTTTAAATCAACTAATTGAGTTAACTATTTTGTTTTATTAGATTAATAAAATCATAAAATAGAAATGCTATGTATATATGCATCTCTTTTTGCAATAAAATAATTTTTAACCTTGAGTTTATCTTGAGTTTAGAAATTAATAGAGAGAGAGAAGAGATTATGATATAATGTGACATTGAATCAAATGTAATTACAATGCTGATTTTATGACTGTAGGCATTTTAGAAATTGGTTTGTAATAGTAAATTTAGTATGAATATATGCATAGAAATGACATTAAAAATATAGTATGGAAAATAATGATCCATATCTGTTATAATATATATCGAGAGAAATATTGATTATACTATATCTAAAAATACTAAACTTGTGCAATTGCACCATCTTCGTGAATTTTTTTATAAATTAAACAGCGTATAGTCTCATGGTGTGATTTATATATATAATCGCACTTTTACTTTATACTTTCATTTACAATTAGCCAATGTATTTGTAAATGTAATTTGATAGTCTGAAACCACAGAGATTTTTAATACTAATTTTCGTCTTTTATAATTTGAGTAATACGAGATTACTCTCCTTGTGTGTGAAATTAAAATATGTTTGATACCTGCCTAGTATAAAACATATTGCTTGCAAAAAAAACCATCGCGATAATATAGCGATCGAGAAAGCGAACGCATTGATCGCCAACAGCTGGCTGAGCTTCCCATGTCTTTAAGACTTATGACCTATGCATTGAGTAATGCATTTATATCCATTTTACGATGGTCTGTAAATTAAGAAAAAGTATCTTTCCGACTATTTATTGATAATATTGAAAAGATGCCTTTTATACATTTGTTGTTTTTCAACTAAATATTAAAAAATTCCGAATTTAAATATTGAAATATATTAACTACCTCAAAGTATTGAAATATATCTAACGAAAAAAAGCAATTCAGATTGCAATTCATAAGTATTTATTGTGTTTTATAATCTTTATTACAAACTTCGCTGCTTTTTTTACGATTAATTCGAAGTGAATAACGTGTTAAAAGGAGTTTTCTTTTATACAAAAATCATGGAGCGTTTCAACTTTATTTATTCTTTAATATATATCAAATATCCATAAATTAAAGCAAATTTCTTGGTAATTTGTGTTAATCTAAAACTAGCAGATAAACATATTAAATAATCGCGACAAACTGCATATTGGAAATATCAAGTTTATCGTAGCGTAGTTCTGCTTAACATAACCACTCGTTGGTTACAGCTCTTGTCTACGATTGCAAGTTATTCTCCTTTTCGCATTCTTCATTTAATCAATTTTATAAAAATAACAAAAATCTTATTTTTTTTAGCGTTCTATTAGTTATATTTTCTTTGCAATCAAATTAAATATTTTCACAATCACACTTTTAATGAGAAAATTCTTTGGAAAATAAAATTCTCTTTCTATTATGATTTCAAGTCGAATTTAGCAGAACTTAATTTACTTCGAATCTCCTACACATCAGAAGAGAATGTGAAAGGATATTCAAGATGATACAAAATTGACAAATTGTTATTAGATATCTCTTGCATATGTTTTTCTATCGCAATAAGAATAGGCATTAAATGTAATTTGTTATTAGAGTAAATGTGTAACGTTTGCACGTATACATTACAACATAAGTAATACGCATTGCAACGTACACGTAACTCACACTTAATCATGATAAATCACGTTTAAATTACACTTAAGTATAATATGTGAACAGCAGTAACTTGTGATATTTTACCAAGGATTTTGTGCCTAAATGTTCGTATCAAGGATCGTATCATAAATATGGAAATCTTTAATATTCTTTGCAATTAATCATGAAAATATATAGCAATTATTGGCAAATTAAAGTAATTTTCGCTACCAAACATTCGACGAAGAAATCACATAATATAACATAAATTTTTTGCCGACATTCACGATCTGGTTTTTATTGCTGTTAAGGTTTTATACACTTTCTTTCGTTTTTGCTAGCTCGTCTAGGTACTTTCATGAGTGAATGTGAATCTTATTATGTGAATCTTATTATGGAGAGGTTTCATTCGAGAGAGAGAAGATAAAATTTTTTTTATCAACTTTCTTTGTGCGCATCTCGTCGTCATGTTGCTTATTTCGAAAGCTGTCGCACAAACAAAAAAATCGTCTCTTATTACTCAATCTGATCGTGCAACCTTTCACGAGTGCACGCCGGGAGTGATGAGTCCCATAGGTAGGCTAGAAATTGACCGACCCATGATCAGTCCATTGGCCGCATGTTATACATATCCGTGTGTGCGTGAGCATCATGAATCGAGTATCGAATGGATATTATCTCCGATGGTAGATTAGTCGGTCATTATGTAACAACGAGGAACGTCGTTGCGTGCCCACATAAGTTGGATACTTTCTGCTTACCTTTACACACCAGCTTATATCACGTTAATCGTCCTGTGGAAAATCATGTACCAATATGCATAATTATTTCATTTTTAATTAAAATAGTTGCTTCTTTTTTGATTCAGAGAAATCGATTCGCGTTCGTGCAAAATGTTGCAATGTTAAAAGTCGCGCGTATCGTTTTAACGCAAAACAAAATACACAGTTTTTATAAAACCACAGTTCTAGCGATGTTGAAATATGCAATCTGTCTTTTTTTTTTTTTTTTTTTATCCGCCACTGCGATGTATGTATATATTGACAGAAAAATTTGGATGTAAATCTGAATTCATGTAGTACGAGAAATGCAAATTGCAAAAACGTGTTAACGCGATATGTAAGATTGTTGAATAATAGTTTTATATGATCAAGATCAAATTAGAACGAGGAAAAGTAGTTAACTTAAATAGCGCATTGAACAGGTGTGTCGAAATCGAAACTGTTTAGCATACGTGAACGAGTACGTGCTTGTGTGAGCGCGACCGTTTCGCACACGAGCCACCGAACCGTCGGAATTCGATTGCCTGCGGATCTGACGAGGTTACGTCTCGTCGTCCGAACAAGGTTGATACATTTATCACGAGTGCCCACCGACACGAGTAATAATGCTTCACGTCTTTGTTCACTGTTCGTACATTGACGAGATAGTTCCCGCCGACTGCGGGTTTTCTTGTTGCTCTCTGAAAATCTGATTTCTTTTATTGTGTCTCAGACTTTTTTTTCTCTCTCAGCGTGAGAACTAATTTGTTATACATGTTTTACAAACAATAATCATTCATTTCATTTTTGACGTATTACCTTGGGAATAATGCAAGACTTATTTTATCGAAAAAAAAAATTTTACAGTTAGTGTAACAACTATAAAATTTTATGCACTTTTGCAGTGTAATATATGGCAAGCATAAAAATGACAATAAATACAAGATAAGAAAAATATGCGTTGCGCCGTGAATAATTACAAAATTTATACTGCTTTTGAAATGAGATAAAAAAACATAACATTTGCTTAAAGAACTAAAAGAAACTTTGATCAACATATCTGCAAAAACAAATCCGTCCGTAAACAAGTTGCTTCGTTAGTTTAATTTATATGCATCCGCAAAACTTACATACTTCTTAAATAAAAATTAAGAAGAAATAAGAAAATTTACACAGCTTGCAACTTGTCATCAGTTGACAGTTTCCAGTTTTGCTATCATCTCATCAAGGGCGCGTTTAAATAGAATACGTCGTAAGAGAAGACTAGAAGGCCACTTTAAAAGTCATTCATTTAATTGCTACCGGTCACTTAGCTTTCTCGTGCATTTCTTGTGCAAGGTTGATTTGCAAGTAGCAAGCTAACTAGCAGTCTCAGCGTTTGTTTTTGACAACTACAAAAAGAAAAAAAGAGTTCCCGACATTAAATTTTTTTGTAGAAATTAAGAAAATATTAGAGCGACTAAAAATTTATGTAGTTATATAAAATTCATGGCGCAACGCAATATTTTCTCGCAATCTTTTTTCGAAGAGCCAACTTTACGAAAGTTATTTCAATCTATAGATCGAACAAGAATGAAGACAAATTTTTAAAGCAGAGTGCTTGTCTGATCAGAGCCTTGTTTAGTTTTTATTTTTAACATGATTTGAAGTCAATGATCTCACTGACACAAAGGCCATAGCAAACTCGGACACCAAACAGAACTATTAGATATTACCCCACGTCATTTCCGTGAGATAAACGACGTTTTCCCGGACGTCGCGTAAAAAAGACAAACTGCAGGTTTGCTATGGCCTCATTTAATTAAAAATCATGTTGATGTAATTAATATCACGGCTTTCACTCGGTTATCATCAGAATTACATTGTAAGGCGCTCCCAGAATATCGGATAGCAAGTGGTAAAGTATCAGTAGCGAACGTATAGATCAAGTCTTACATAATTTGCGTGAAATACAATAAACATCTTGGAAAAGCGTGACACTCCGCTCGAAGCAAAAATTATTTTC